TAGACTTTCGAGTTAAATTTGTATTTGTCTTTCCTCGTCACGGTTGCAAATAGTTTATTTCTTGTTTGAGAACCGCTGTGTTAACGAAAGAAGCAGGTGAAAAAAAAAAAGACGAACTTGTAAACAGATTACTACTAGTGGATCTTCGTAGGCTGCTAGGCGTACTACGTATGGGAATATCCATCCTGGGTGCAGAGATGGGTAAAACGAACTTTGGTGTCTTCAGATCCCGCCCATATACACACTAGCTCACTTCTGATTGGTAGACCTTGAGCCACGTCTCCTTGCCATGAGGTTACGGGAGTTTTCGGCAATGTTATTGATATCGCGTGTTGTATATTTTAGCACGCTAGTGCTTTTAACACTCTAAAAACATGGACAAACTATGTCTAACACAACCACCCTATAGAGTGCAGCAACCTATGTCTTTTTCTCTGAAAAAAAAAAAAAAACGTAAATGCGAGACAAGCCAAAAAGCAAACAACAGACGGCACACCCTCAACCTGCAGGAAAGTAAACAAACCCAACAAACTTATGAATGAAAGAAATGTGACCTACTTTGTTTGGGGAGAATAACTTAAACCTGTCTCAGGGATGTTAATTGATTGATTAATTAATTAGTTCATGCATTAATTTTTTTTTAAATAACGGACTTCAGTCATGCATTACTGTAAGCTGATGTAAACAATGTCCGTGAAATTTTAAGGATGCAATTTTGGCGTATTACACAACTCGGGTTCTGTTCACATAAGTGGACAGTCCCATCCTGCTTTCGGGAGTCTCCGAGACGAAATGGTCAAGCTGTCTGCCTAGCGTTTCAAAAGTCGTAGTTAAGTTTCACGGTTGGGCCCTTTAGTTCACGAGTGCAGTTTTTAACAGAGATTCCCAGGGATCGTCGCCGGAGCTACAGAGTTCATGCTCTGTGCGGCGCTCCCGGAGAGAGAGCGAACCATATATCTTGTTTTCGTGTTTAGCAAAACAATCTGCCGTCTTACATGCCAGTTCTTTTCTCTTTCAGCCAAACAGACTGCCATCTCACATCATAGGTTTTTTTCTCTTTTAGCAAAACAGCCTGCCATCTCACATCATAGGTTCTTTTCTCTTTTAGCAAAACAGCCTGCCATCTCACATCATAGGTTCTTGTCTCTTTTAGCAAAACAGCCTGCCATCTCACATCATAGGTTCTTTTCTCTTTTAGCAAAACAGCCTGCCATCTCACATCATATGTTCTTTTCTCTTTTAGCAAAACAGCCTGCCATCTCACATCATATGTTCTTTTCTCTTTTAGCAAAACAGCCTGCCATCTCACATCATAGGTTCTTTTCTCTTTTAGCAAAACAGACTGCCATCTCACATCATAGGTTCTTTTCTCTTTTAACAAAGCAGCCTGCCATCTCACATCATAGGTTCTTTTCTCTTTTAGCAAAACAGCCTGCCATCTCACATCATATGTTCTTTTCTCTTTTAGCAAAACAGCCTGCCATCTCATATCATATGTTCTTCTCTCTTTTAGCAAAACAGCCTGCCATCTCACATCATATGTTCTTTTCTCTTTTAGCAAAACAGCCTGCCATCTCATATCATATGTTCTTCTCTCTTTTAGCAAAACAGCCTGCCATCTCACATCATATGTTCTTCTCTCTTTTAGCAAAACCGCCTGCCATCTCACATCATATGTTCTTTTCTCTTTTAGCAAAACCGCCTGCCATCTCACATCATATGTTCTTCTCTCTTTTAGCAAAACCGCCTGCCATCTCACATCATATGTTCTTCTCTCTTTTAGCAAAACAGCCTGCCATCTCACATCATATGTTTTTCTCTCTTTTAGCAAAACCGCCTGCCATCTCACATCATATGTTCTTCTCTCTTTTAGCAAAACCGCCTGCCATCTCACATCATATGTTCTTCTCTCTTTTAGCAAAACAGCCTGCCATCTCACATCATATGTTCTTTTCTCTTTTAGCAAAACAGCCTGCCATCTCACATCATATGTTCTTTTATTTTTTAGCTAAACAGCCTGCCATCTCACATCATATGTTCTTTTCTCTTTTAGCAAAATAGCCTGCCATCTCATATCATATGTTCTTTTCTCTTTTAGCAAAACAGCCTGCCATCTCACATCATATGTTCTTCTCTCTTTTAGCAAAACAGCCTGCCATCTCACATCATATGTTCTTCTCTCTTTTAGCAAAACAGCCTGCCATCTCACATCATATGTTCTTTTCTCTTTTAGCAAAACAGCCTGCCATCTCACATCATATGTTCTTTTATTTTTTAGCTAAACAGCCTGCCATCTCACATTATATGTTCTTTTCTCTTTTAGCAAAATAGACTGCCATTTCTCATCATAGATTCTTTTCTCTGTTAGCGAATGAGCCTCCCATCTTGCATCACAGATCGTTTTCTCGTTTAGCAAAACAGCCTGCTGTTTTTCTCCGTCCTGCTGTCGTAACTGAACAATCTAGAGCTCTATTTGAACTGGAAGTCGCCGTGGCGTAGCGGCTAGACGCTCGCATCGATGGTTTGCTCCCTGACGAGGCCGTACTTTAAAAAAAATTGACCTTGATTCCTAGGTCGACCCAGCCTTGAATGGGTACCGGGTGCAGTCCTGGGAAGTAAAGGCGGCATGCGTGATGCTGACCACATCACTATCTTGTGTCGATTGGTATATAAATATATAAGTCTAGCCTCTGAACCCTATACGCCTCAGGGCGTGGAAAAAGGACCTTTTTTTTACTTGAACTATTCTGTTCCTTTAAGCAATGAAGCTTGCTATCGTATTTAAGCAACAGAGATTTGTGTTCAATTGTAGGTTTTTTCCTTTGACAAGCGACCCTTTCGTACTGTATAAATACTTTACTCTCACCATAGAATGTGTAAGAACGTGTGAACGAGGAAGTATATGTGGATCAGGAATGAAAGGAAGACATGAAAGAAAGAGAACTACGAGTTTATTTTCAGTGTGCTACGGGAGCAGTTAGCATCTGCACCTGAAGACGTTTGCTGCGGAAGACGGAGCACGTACTTGTATGTTTCGTGTGTTGAGTTGTTGATTCTTGTATCAGTATAGTCGGCAAAACTCTCACTATTTTATGTTGTTTGTCCTGTAGTAGTATAGTAATAGATCTGACTTGTATGTTTCGTGTGTTGAGTTGTTGATTCTTGTATCAGTATAGTCGGCAAAACTCTCACTATTTTATGTTGTTTGTCCTGTAGTAGTATAGTAATAGATCTGACTTTCAGGTCCTAGTTGAAATGTCAAAAGGTGCTTTGTAGTATTTATTAACGAGCCCGTAATAGATGCCCTCTACAGCAGTGTGGGGGAGTCGCCGTGGCGTAGCCACTAGACTCTCGCGTGCGGATCTGAAGGTCTTGGGTTCGCTCCCTGGAGGAGCCAGACTTTTTTCAAAAAAGACCTTGACTCCCAGGTCGACTCACCCTTTAGTGGGTACGGGGCGCAGTCCCGGGAAGTAAAGGCGGCCGGCGTGATGCTGACCACATCACCCATCTTGTTCCGCTTCGTCTATAAAAATATAGGTCTATCCCTATATGCCTAAAGGCGTAGAAGAGGGACCTTTACTTTTTTTTTAATTTTTTTTTTACTAACAGCAGTGTAGGCTTCATACATGACTTTTACCATTGCGCTTAAAGTTTTCTCTGATACATCATCTAGTTATGTATGTTCTCGTTTTTCAGGTGGGTTGCCGAGTGCATCCGGAATAAGTAAGTATTTTTGTTTATCAAATTTGTTCTCTTGTACCAGCAGCTAGAAAATAACAGAAACAGGTTAGTTGCGTATCCTTTACAGGACGTTGCAGAACCAACCCCAGCAACCCCTGGCTGTTGTGTGGTTTCTCTAGGCAAATTTACGTCCAGTAGTTTGCCGTTGCTCCTGAACGGTCGGCTTTCTTGATATCACTGTCGAAACCAATGCAAGGCGTATTGCCCGCAGCTGGAATCGAACCTGGCACCGCGGCATTACAAAGCGTTCGAGTCGACTTAGCCACAGCCGACAACAGAAACATGCCTAGGAAAAAAACTGAAGGAGAAGACTCCAATCAAACGGTATATTAGAGGAATGTGGAACAGACGATGGGGAATAAGTGCTACTAGCAGAAGGGTGTGCGAATATTTGAGAGAATCTACCCTGACATCATAAGTCTAAGACAATTTAAAAACATTGTCCTGACATTGGATCTAGATTGACTCAGGCGAGAGAGTGAGGTCGACGAATTGGGCAACTCTTCCTTATTTAAATACAAGTCCTTGCGCAAGTCACTTTCATCCAGCAATTATTGATAATTACTACTTTGGATGAAGATCAGAACAGGTATGCTTCGTGCAGAGTGGCATGCTTCGTGCAGAGTGGCATGCTTCGTGCAGAGTGGCATGCTTCGTGCAGAGTGGTATGCTTCGTGCAGAGTGGCATGCTTCGTGCAGAGTGGCATGCTTCGTGCAGAGTGGCATGCTTCGTGCAGAGTGGCATGCTTCGCTACGGAGGACACAAGTAGTATTGTCTGGATTTTTTCACCGGGGCACGCAGGTGTGTTGGGAAATGAACAGGGGGACAGACTGGCTGGCTCTGCACAACTTAGTGGAATGATACATGAAAAGGCAGACATGGTTAGTGCCTTGTGGGAGAGCGTGTACAGTTCGGAGGAGCAGATGGAACACCACAGTCTGGTGAGATTGATGCAGCGAGGAGTGACGAGAGGCTCTGGCAGATGCTCGAGGCTCAGAGGAAAGCAAGACGGACGTTTAATCAGAATGCTACTGGCACCATTATTATCAGAACTCTTCGCTGGCTGCTGAAGATGGGGACGGAGCGCTTATGGGAATACCCCGAGTGCTGTGATGTCGGTTCTTGAATCAAATCAAATCATGAATGTGGTCTTCATCACTCGCGATGGACGAACAACTTGACACCAGAAGCCGAGTCCTGTCAGAGATATATTTTATTGGTTGGTCATTACTTCCTTTGTCCTTCTTCGTGTTTTCAGAACCTCAGGACCTGATGACGCTGGCTGCGATGGGTTTGGGCTCTTCTAACGCTGCTGCAGCTCCTAAGGATATTAGTAAGGCATCATCCTTCTCATCATCTTTATCACCTTCATCATCATCATCATCGTCTTTATCATATTATGCTCTTATACGTCACACAGGGCCTGATTTAGACTTGATCTGGTAATCTGGTAATGTTAATTTCAGCTTCATAGCAAACGGGTCACCCCATCTTTGTTCCGCTCCTGTGCCAACGAAAAATACACAGAATGTTTATTACAGTCCCTTGTGGAAAGACAAACCTCTGTGTCAGCAAATCTAGCACACACTCGCATTAAAAGCATGTGGTAGCCATTCGAAGCGCTAACACAAACAGTCTGACTTTAGAAATGCAGTTCATCATTGATGGTAGCAGAATTCACCAAAAGATCAGCAGTTGCACACGTGATCAATTTTAATCAAATAATGGCCCCACCAATATTGCGACAACCGGCATCGCGCTATTTTCTGAATCTACAAATCACACCATCACGTTGGTCAGGTGAAAAACATTCTAAATGAAATCTGTAGCTCACAGTGTCACGCCATGCACTCAACTCAGAAGCTGGGTAGCAAAACTATATACTTCTAGTCTACAAATTGAGCAAAAAAGCAACTTCCACAGTCTAGCAGAAGCAAAACAGTGGCTGTGCCTAGTGTTCATTTGAACCTGAAGCATTATGTGAGGGTTAATAAACTGTCACCCCAGCAGTACCCTACTATTAGCTGGGGAAGGCATTTAGGACATTACATCCACCAGCAAGCGTCGCCCCAACAACGTCCTGACTGCCTTCGTTAACGACAGTTCACCCAACAGCCATGCAGTTCTTTGGCACGAAGGAGACACCTTGAACTTGGGTTTGGACTGCCGACTCCCTACACGAAAATATATGTGTGATACTGGTGTCCTGTAGCCAAAATACTATCTCACTGTATTACTAAAATTCAGCTCGCATACTCAAACGCGCAGTTGTTTTAAAACACACACACACACACACACACACACACACACACACACACACATACATACACTCATTCCCTGCCACCAACTTGCTTGCTACATGACTACACATTTATATAAGTATAAATACAGTTTGTCTGTAATCTATATTTATTTAAGTATATATACAGTCTGTAAGCTATATTTATATAAGTATATATACAGTTTGTCTGTAAGCTATATTTATATAAGTATATATACAGTTTGTCTGTAAGCTACACAGAGCGCTCAGGCCCCCAAAAACAACATATTTATCAGAGAAAGTCTGTAGCAATATGCTTGGTTTATGTTTTTTTTTTTTTCGATGAATCAATATCATGGCAGCTTCATACCAACCTTGTGTGATCATACCGATGAACACGAAAGATAACTAACCCTCTCCGAAACGAGATGTTTGAGAAAGGCTGTGAACAAATTAAAAGAGATCATGTGAGAAACAAAGAATTTACAAAGTCTATTGTTTCAGAACTTTAAATTCATTGAAAAACAAAGACCTTAATGGTTTGGTCATTAATCTGAATAGATGCAATGATACCAGAAGCTAGATCATACAATATTAAAGTAGAAACACCAAGAGGTAGGCGATGACCATAAAGACCAAGTCCCCGTGTGGGTTCTGGGACCCCACTGTGGGGGAAATTAGAATAGACCCACTGCTACCCCAACAAACGTATCGTGAAAACCGACTAAATTGGAGATTCCTTGGAAGTCAGAGTGTATGTGCATGGAAAGCAATGAACCAACAATCTGCATACAAATAATGTAGTTTTGAGAAAAGGATGTGCACTAAACACGCAGGTTCTGCAACAAGACTAACGTCCACTGGGGGACGAACAACCAGAACGTTCCGTCGCAGTTGACAGCCGGCGAACACGACGATGACGATAATGACGAAGGGCTGAGAGAATCAGTGAAACCTCTAGACTCCACAACATCACAGTATACCGTAAACCTAGCGTGCCCTATATATCGATTTTCCGTTAACCCACAGCGGCACAAAACAAGAAAATTCGTGCAGTAGTTGGTTGTAGTGACGATAATCGTGACACTTTGTGCATGTCCTCAGCTCAGCTTCTGGGAGGAATGAACCCCATGAGTATATTTGCCGGCTCTATGGGTTTGGGCGGCGGGGGCCAGAGAGCAGCTGCAGCAGGTGCTGCAGGAGGAGCACGGGCGGCGCCACCAGTAGAACCAGAGGTAGTGGCTGAGCAGCAAGAACAAAGTAAGTAGAGATTTTGTTGTTGATCTTGTAGTGATCATTGCAGAAGTTGTGATCATCATCATCAGCATCATCATCGTCAATTTCCAATTTTGCCGTTAGGCGTTGTGGTAACAAACAGTTTGCTATCCATTGCTTGATGGGTGGCAGTTGCTTTAATCATCCCCTGTTAATACAATGTTTCTAATGTGATTAATCAGTCTTCTTATAGGGCCACCTCTTGCTTTCACATTATATCTTTTTGTATACGTATTCGTTGTGGCTGTATACATAACAAAAAGACAAGGACCTTTTCCCTGTCATAAGTAGTTTGACCATCTACCTTTAAACATCTAATTAATACGATCACACCTGCGTTTAACTGTAGACTAGCCCGGCTCGCTAGCGCAGTCGGTTAAACCAGACTTCGCGGCGATAGCGTCACAAACTTGGTGTGGTCCGTATATACATTATATATATTTATATGTGTTTGCGTGCGTGCGCGCGCGTGTGTGTGCGCGCGCGCACACACACACACACATACACATATGGGAGCCGCCTTGGTCTAGTGTCTAGACGCTCTTCTGCGATCAAAAGGTCCTAGGTTCGGGTCCTGACAGGAGCCGGACTTTTGTCTAAAATGACCTTGGCTCCCAGATCGACCAGCCGTGAGTGGGTACCAGGTACATTCCTGGGAAGTAAATGCGGCCGCCGCGATACCGAACACATCACCCAACAAGTGCCGTTTGGTCTATAAATCATAAGTCCATCCCTATTTACCACATACGACTCAAGGCGTGGACAAGGGTCCTTTACTTTTCTTTATGTGTATGTGCAAGACTTTACTTTATGTGTATGTACAAGACTTTACTTTATGTGTATGTACAAGACTTTACTTTATGTGTATGTACAAGACTTTACTTTATGTGTATGTACAGGTTAAAACCGTAGAAAATTTAATACCGGAATATACGACAAACTTTACCTTAACTTATATATATATATATATATATATATATATATATATATATGTGTGTGTGTTTTTACATTTTTCAGTGATGATGAGAGCAATGATGGCCAGCGCAATGAAATGTAATGTATTTGTTTCATTTGTTTTACCTGTGTATATGTTGCGTTTCTTATTCTTAGTCTTAGTCGAGGTTTCCGCTTCCCTGCAATCTGGTTTGCCCATACTTGCTCCGTTCCTGTGCCAGTGAAAATCAAATGAAATGTCTCCCACTGTCGCATTTGAAAAACTGGTAAACAAACAATTAGTAGTAGTAGTAGATTTCTACCCCACCAGGACATCACATAAGGATAAACACTCGATGACACAGAGTGCCACCATGTGAATGAGGATCACCGTGGAGAGGTCTCAGAAACCGCGTTCAGCCATTAGACCATATTTACGGTCTGGCTATATTGTGGCCCCTGGCAGGAGCTAGAGTAGGGCTTCAAATAACGAATAATTGCATCTCAAAAGGAGATGACTGGATTAAAACAATAAGTAGCAGAACAATCTAGAAATATGTGCAGCAGCAAATGCATATTTCAGTTGCCAGAGGCGCCAAAAGCTAGCAGTCGCCACCAAAAATTCAGTGCGTCGTTGATGGAAGTAGTCGGGCACGATAAGGTGGCCATACACACGTAAAATTACTATATAAGGTATTCTAGCAGCGCACACGTAAACCGGCTACCAGTCCTAGTGAACACCACGACACAACCGCTGCACAAATAAAAGGCATTCCACGTGAAAAACACAGCTCTCAGGTCTGCACCAAGCACTAAACTCTGCAGCTCAGGCAGCGAAACCGTTGACTACCGCCCACATGTGGAAACTACACCAGCAAAGCGCTGTTGTAGGTAAAAAACAACCTCGAAGAGTAACATTCTGACATGCCTCCCCCATTTTAGACCTGAAGTCTGGTAGCAGAGCGCTTCGATTATGCAAAGATGCGTTATATTTTAAGTTACTTTAATATGTCTTTCCATGACATGTAGTACACCTTATAACAATGCTCTATCTAGACCAACAAGCAGCGGTTAGAATAGATGGTGAATAATCAACTGGTTTGACACCAAGCAAGGAGTCCGTCAGGACTGTGTGCTGTCACCCTATTTGTTTAGCCTGTACACCGAAAATATAATGAGAAATGTCAGTAACGAGATTCCTAGAGAGCAATATGATGCCCTAAATATCGGTGGTCATGAAATATCAGAGATCCGATATGCCGATGATACAGTATTGCTATCTACATCACAAACTGATATAGAAAACTTAATAACCTCAACCTAAAGAAATAGTAAAAAATCACAACTTATATCTTAACATAGCAAAAACAAAGATAATGCACACAGATAAAACTAATATGGGGAAAGAAATTTATGTTAATGAGGAAAGATTGGAGGTTGTGGAAAATTGTGACTATCTTGGGTCATTGATTACCAACAATGGTGACACAATAAAAGAAATTAAGCGTGGACTATCAGTTGCTCTTCAAAGACTTAAACAACTGAATAATTTATAGAGTGGGACCGAAAGAACTACAAAAATTAGATTTCTAAGAGCATGCATTTTTCCCATTGCAACAGACGCCTGTGAGACCTGGACACTTACTAAACAAGCTGAACAGTGCATAATTGCCTTTAAATACAAATGTTGTAAAAGAGTTCTAAGAATATCATGGGTAAAGAAAACAACAAATACATACTTAAAGAACTGAATATTGAAGAAGGATGGCTAATAAAGACGATAAAACACAGAAAATTGAAATATGTTGATCACTAGAAACGTCAGGAAACTTTAGAGAGAACAACAATGGAGGGGGGCATATGTCTGGAAAGAGAGGAAGAGGAAGGAAAAAGAGGATATGGGTGCAGGATGTGGCGGATGATCTCCAGATGGGTGTATCGGATGCGGGACATCTTGCTTGTGATCAAGAAGTTTTCCGGAAGGTCGTTATAGGTGCAAGGTTCTGCAAAGGACATGCTCCTGACTGACTGACTGATTTTTATATGCTGTTGCGCTAGCAAACTACTGTCTGTCTGTCTTCTGTATTTCTGTCAGCCTGTCTGTCTGTCTGTCTGTCTGTCTGTCTGTCTGTCTGTCTGTCTGTCTGTCTGTCTGTCTGTCTGTCTGTCTGTCTGTCTGTCTGTCTGTCTGTCTGTCTGTCTGTCTGTCTGTCTGTCTATCTGTCAGTCTGACAGTCTGTCTGTCTGTCTGTCTATCAGTCGGCCTTTCTCTTTGTTAATTTAGGCATCCATCTCTCTGTGTGTCCTTGTATTAGTCTACTAATGTTTATGTATGTGTCTGTTTGTCTGTATTTCTGTCTGTCTGTTTTCCGTCCGTCCACCCACCTACCCATCTATCCTTCCATTCATCCATATGTCCGCCCGGCTGTCTATCTGTCCGTCCAGCAAACCAACTGTATAGATGTCTATTCCTACAGCTATTGTCTACATCTGAGGCGATAGTGCACTTCTCTGCTACGACTATAGTCAGGAGTTCGAATCCTCATGGTGGTTAAAGATACCGCGAAGGGGCTGTAGTCCCTTTCCCACTTGCCACCCTCGCCCCCGATACCCCCTTTCCCCCCATCAACATGCATTAAAGATCTCTTTTTCTTTATACATTTAATATTATTTGCAGTGTATTATTATATTTAGTTGCCATTCACTACACTATTATTACCTACTTTAACAAGACTTGAGACCCTTCAAGCACCTTCATGCCCTTCTTAAACACCAAATAAAAACCCTCCCCCACACCAAATAACCCCCCTCCACACACACCAAAAAAAAAAACTCCCCCACACCAAAAAAAAAAGCCCTTTTCCACACTAAATTAAAAACCCTCCCACACACCTAATAAAAACCCTCTCCCACACCAACCACCACCCCCCCCCACACACACACACACACACACACCAGATACAAATAGACTAATAAACTCGGTTATATTTGTGGCATGCCACTGTGAGAAGCTACAAACTAATGCTCAGCTTCTGTTTCCTGCTATGTTTTTGCAGCTATGATGTCACCTAGTAGTGGCACACCTAACGGAACAGCTGCGCCTGCAAGAAATCGTAAGTTCCATTTTAACGCACTCTAGTGATTAAAAGTAAAGGTAAAGTCGGGAGATGTGAACCAGCGTCATTGCACACGGTTATAAACCATAAGTGCTCTGCCACCAGTTCGGACAACTGATAAGAATTGTCCGCCTGTGTCGCCGTCCACACGTAACTCTGTAGCTACAGCGACGTTCCTCCATTTACCCTAGAGTGTCAACTCTGGTACCCATTTCCTAGACACTGGTTGAACCCCGAGAGCAGCGCGGTTTCGAACACCGACCTTCTACTGCAGCGAGTCACAGCTGGATTTGGAAGCGAGCCTCTTATCGACTGCGCTAACCTTGCATACCTTTCATGTTTGAAATATCAAGGAGACTTTGTACCCCTAAAACAACGGTTCTCAACCTGAAAGTCTCGATCTTTTTTTTGGGGGGGGGGGTGGGGGGGTGGGGTCAAACTGCCCTTTTACGGGGTTGCCTAAAGTGTCTTAGCCAATCATCCATGATGTTCAGATCTTTTAAAATGTCAGAATTTCTTCTCTTTTTTTTCCAAGGCATTTTGAGAATTGTTCTATGGCATTTCAGCTCAAAAGCCTCTGTTTTCTTTCTTAAGATAAGTACCACTTTATTATCCCCCAAAACTCATTACGGAAGCCAAAAGCAAAACAGAGATCTGACGGTGAAGCCCTAGGCAGGGTTAATTACACACACGAACTGGGGACGAGAACCATATATTTATTTAGGCCTACAGTATATTTACGTCACCAGGACGAATACATCTCTGTCACAACGATAAAGCTGTAAAAAGTTCACTGGTCAGTTTGCAATTATAATGTATTTGCAATGATTTCCGAGATCGATTTTTGAGTGAATCTTCTTCTTCTTCTTCCTATCCTTCTTCTTCTTCTTCTTCTTCTTCCTCTTCTTCTTCTTCTTCTTCTTCTGCTTTTTCTTCGTCTTTTTCTTATTCAGTTAAAGTATAGACAGGCAATATTCTGAGCTAGGAACGGTTTAAACCGTTTTTAGATAATGATGTTGGTAACATTTGCTTGATATTCCTTTATATATATATATATATATATATATATATATATATATATATATATATATATATATATATGTGTGTGTGTGTGTGTGTGTGTATATATATATGACAAAAATTGGATTTTCACTGTAAAATCTTTGCTGAAAGGTAATTGTTACAAGCACAGATTAGGTTTAGCATGTCATGTGACAGTTGGACTGGTTTAACTACCTTGATTTCTGTTTTTGCATTTCAGCTGCAATGGATATGATGAGTAAGTAATCAGTCTCTATGTCTGTCTATCCCTCTTTCTGTCTATCTGTCTGTCCATCCGTCTGTCTGTCTATTTGTCTGTCTTTCTGCATATCTGTCTGTCCATCCGTCTGTGTGTCTATCTGTCTGTCTCACGGTCTGTCTGTCTTTCCGTCCGTCTGTTTGTCTATCTATATGTCTACCCTCCATCCATCATCTTTTTATATATATATATATATATATATATATATATATATATATATATATATATATGTGTGTGTGTGTGTGTGTGTGTGCCTGTCGGTCTGTGTGATAGTCGGTCCATTCGTTTGTCTGTCTAACTGTCACTATTTGTGTCTCTATAACACTTTCTCTGTTTGTATGTGTCTCTATCTGTCTACCACACTTGTTGCTGTCTCTGTGTATATGTATCCCCCTTTGCATGTATCTCTGTGTCTCTCTATCTCTTTTAGTCTTTATCACACGTTCTGCCTCTCTCCCTCTTCTCTCTGTTTTCTACCTGCTCCCTATATCTTTATCACATTTTTTGCGTGTCACACTTTGTATGTGCTTTTCATTGTTTCTGTGTCGGATTTTCTCTATCTCTCTGCATCTCTCTGTCTATCTTTCAACTCTCTCTCTCTCTCTCTCTCTCTCTCTCTCTCTCTCTCTCTCTCTCACACACACACACACACTCACTTTTTTCTGTGTCACTATTTCTCTGTCTCTTTTTATCTCCCTATAAATCGTGATATTCTGTCTCTCTCTTTGTGTGTGTGTGTGTGTGTCTCTCTCTCTCTCTCTCTCTCTCTCTCTCTCTCTCTCTCTCTCTCTCTCTTTCTATATCATACTTTTTATGTGTCTCTCTTGTTTTCGCTTGCGAACTCTGTCTCCCTCTTCTCCGCAATTCCTCTCCCTCTCCTTCTCTTCTATTGTCACTCTTGCTACAAGTATATTTGTGTGTTGTGAATCCATATCGTTGACCTCGTTGCTCACTGCTTCTTGGATGCCTCCACAGCACTGATGGCCCTCCAGAGTGGATTAAACGGTGGAAACCAAGCTGCCGGTGGAGGAGGTAGGTGCACTTATTTCTTACACTTGCACGGTTACAATCTTCTTCTCTTCTGCTTCGTCTCTTCTGCCTTGTCTCTGCTGCCTCGTCTCTGCTGCCTCGTCTCTTCTGCTTCGTCTCTGCTGCTTCGTCTCTTCTGTATCGTCTCTTCTGCTTCGTCTCTTCTGCTTCGTATATTCTGCTTCGTCTCTTCTGCTTCGTCTCTTCTGCTTCGTCTCTTCTGCATCGTCTCTTCTGCTTCGTGTCTTCTGCTTCGTCTATTCTGCTTTGTCTCTTCTGCTTCGTCTCTTTTGCTTCGTCTCTTCTGCTTCGTCTATACTGCTTTGTCTCTTCTGATTCGTCTCTTCTGCTTCGTATCTTCTGCTTCGTCTATTCTGCTTTGTCTCTTCTGCTTCTTCTCTTTTGCTTCGTCTCTTCTGCTTCGTCTATTCTGCTTTGTCTCTTCTGCTTCGTCTCTTTTGCTTCGTCTCTTCTGCTTCGTCTATTCTGCTTTGTCTCTTCTGCTTCGTCTCTTTTGCTTCGTCTCTTCTGCTTCGTCTATTCTGCTTTGTCTCTTCTGCTTCGTATATTCTGCTTTGTCTCTTCTGCTTCGTCTCTTCTGCTTCGCCTCTACTGCCTCGTCTCTTCTGCTTCATCTCTTCTGCTTCGTCTCTACTGCCTCGTCTCTTCTGCTTCGTCTCTTCTGCTTCGTCTCTACTGCCTCGTCTCTTCTGCTTCGTCTCTTCTGCCTCGTCTCTTCTGCTTCGTCTCTTCTGCTTCGTCTCTACTGCCTCGTCTTTTCTGCTTCGTCTCTTCTGCTTCGTCTCATCTGCTTCGTCTCTTCTGCTTCGTCTCTTCTGCTTCGTCTCTTCCACCATTTACCTCAACAAGCTGTTGGAGGTTAGGAACAGAAATATCTCATGCTATAATAGAGACAGTTTTAAAACATAGTTATGAATCCTGGACAATTAATAAACAACCCAAACAATTTCTCCAGGCGGAGATGTGGTTTTATAAATGAATCCTTAAAATAACTTGGACAGCTAAAAACAACAAAGAAGCGACATCACAAACATCATCAGAAAGAGACAGTCATATTCTGAGTCTGAGAGTGTGTATGAGACTGTGAGAGTGAGTGTAAGAGTGTGTGTGATAGTGAGTGTGAGAGTGTGTGTGAGAGTGAGTTGTAGTGTGTGAGAGTGAGTGTGAGAGTGAGTGTGAGTGTAAGAGAGTGAGTGTGACAGTGAGTGTGAGAGTGACAGTGAGTATGAGAGTGTGAGAGTGAGTGTGTGAGAGTGAGTCTGAGAGTGAGTGTGTGAGAGTGAGTGTGAGAGTGTGAATGTTTGAGTGTGGGAGTGTGAGTGTGAGAGTGTGAGAATGTAAGTGTGCGTGAGAATATGAGTGTAAGTGTGAGTTTGAATTTGAGTGAGTAAGTGAGAGAGAGATAGTGTGTGTGTGTGTGTGTGTGTGTGTATGGTGTGTGTGTATGTCTCTCTGCCTGTCGGTAGGTGGGTGGGTGGGTGGGTGTGGGTGGATGGGTCTTGCTTGGGTAGGTGGGTGGGGGTCATTTTTGTAAGAAGGGAATTGGAACATGATTAAAAGTTTATGAGACAGTCGTAATGTTTCTTTGGATATGGGATACATCGAAGCAAATGCCCTTTTTCATGACAATCAACAATCAGATCCAGCGGTCGTGATAGGAATAGGAATAACAAGTCTTGCTGACAGAAGTTTGAGAAGAGAGAGATGGAGGTAAAGGACCCGTTTCCGCGCCATCAGGCGAAGTGGGCAATTTAGGCATAAACCTATATTTTATAGACCAATCGACACATGGTGGATGATGTGGTCAGTATCAAGCCAGCCGCATTTACTTCCTAGGACCACACCTGGTACCCACTCAAGGCTGGGTCGACCTAGAAGCTAAAAGCATTTTTTCGAAAAAATTCCGGCTTTATCAAGACCCTAAGACCTTCCGAACTGCAGGCGGGCATCTACCCGCTACACCACAGCGACTCCCATATAGAACTAGACCTTTATTTTATTGATTAATGCCCGGCTGTCTAGCGTAGCTGGCTAAACCAGACTGCGCGGTGACCGGGTGACAAACTCTTTGTGGTCCGGGTTCACGATCGGGGGTAGGCAGAAAAACTACATTTCTCCCAGATTTACGGTATCTATCATGGAATCAGGGCCGAAGGGTTGCGATATCCATAATACCGAACTTAAGGGTTAACAACTCATGGCTTCTGGATGCTAAGTGTAGTGTAGTTTTGATTAATCGGCACTAGATTGGAGATGTGGTTAACATCACACCGGCTGCAATTACTTCCCAGAAATTCATCTGGTACCCACTTAAAGCTAAGTCGAACTGGGGTCATTTTTGTAAAAACAAAAATGTCTGGATTTGTCAGGAACTGAACCATTAACCCTCTGATTTTGAAGCCGCTACACCAGGTAGGCTTCTCGGCCATATAGTGCTACAAGACCTAAATTGTGTAGACCAATCTTCACTCGGTTGGTAATGTGTTAAACTTTACGCCTGCCACCTTTAAAATAAAAATAAAAAGTAAAAGCCCATTTGTTGTGGGTACAATGCCTAATTGATTTGTGTTTTTTTTTTAAATTCAGGTGCGGCAGCAATGGACCCCCTCTGTAAGTATAGCTGCTGTCTTTGGTGTTGTTGTTTAAATTATATCGTAATCGTAGATACCAAACAAAAAATGTCAAACTTTATCCTCTTTCATCTGCCCGAAGGCCTGCTTTATCGAAGATGTTTTTTTTTTTTTTTGCTATCTGATTGAATTCTTTTGTGTGTGGCTATCATTTTCGCTTAAGTTAGGGTATTTGCTTAAATTATATATGTATATATATATCATGGCCTAAGTGTTGCGAGTCCGACTCGTAATTCCAATGTACCGCGATCGAATCCCACTGCTGGCTGCGTGGATTTTTATTGTGGTTGTGGCGTCGCCGGTCTAAAATGGTTACCAAGATATATGTCCTGGGGAAGTAAAGATGACCGGCGTAATGCTGACCACATTCATTGCCCACCTAGTGCCGAATTGGTCTGTGAAAATATGGTTGCTCTTCCCATTTGCCTGATGCGCCTAAAGGCAGGAAAAGGAATCTTTACTATATAAATATGTATCTGTGTGTGTATGTATATATGTGGGTGTGTGTTTTAAATTGTAAATATTCTTTGTCTTATTTCTCCTGAAAATAGGCAGGTCTTATTTAACTGAAACCAACAAACAAAGAGACAAATTCAGATGCTATGGAGAGCTGTAAATTAAAACATAATCACTGAGAAAAAAATGTAACCCCCCCCCCCCCCCCCCCCCTTCCCCCCCCCCCCCCCCAAAAAAAAAAGAGGGACATTTTAAATATTTTGGTCACATTAAAGGACGCAACAGGCTCTTGAAAACCATAAACAAGCGATAGATAGGGACATCGAAATAATGAAAGAGGATAAGGAAAAAATAAAAAGAAGAAGAGAGTCAGACCAGATGTGGATTGAGAGGGGGGGGGGGGTCGTAAGCAGGAGGATGTAGAAAAGAGAGAGAAGGATGAAGAAATAAGGAAATATAGGAGGGAAAAGAGAGTAAAAAGAGAGAGAAAGAGAGAGAGAGAGCAAACTAATTCCGTACTCTATGTTTAGATTATTATTCCACTGAAAACAATGTCTGAGAGGACTGATCGTAAACACAGGGTGGGATGAGTTCAAGAGGAATGAGATAATAGGAGGATTGGCTGGACAGATACCTGTATCGACTGCGGTGAGACAAGGAGGGTGGGGATGTGTTTGGCACACCCTGAAATGAAGTGAAGAGTTACGGAACAGGCACTGAGATGGGAGAGGGAGGACCTCCAAGGAAAACATTGTGAAGAACATATGAGAAGTTTAAAAATGCTGAGCTGAAATCGAGGGAGTTAAGGCAATTGAGAGAAGTGAGGGACTGACTGACTGACTTTCTACCCCACAAGGACATCACACAAGCGATAAACACCCGATGACACAAAGTGCCACTATGCGGATGAGGATCACCGTGGAGAGGTCCCAGAAACCGCGTTCAGGCAATTGGCCATATTGATGGCCTGCCTATATTGCGGCCCCTGGCAAAAGCAAGAGTGGAGCTTCAAATAACAAAAAATTACGTCTTTAAAAAGGACGTAAGGAATAAGTGAGGGAATCCAATCTAAAGGCTAAATATGCTGGGCAGAAATTAAGAGTTGAGGCAATTGAGCGGAATGGAAGGATCCATTCGAGAGGCTAAAAATGTTGGGAAGAAATCGAGAGAGTTGAGGCAATTGAGCGGAGTGGAAGGATCCATTCGAGAGGCTGAAAATGTTGGGCAGAAATTGAGAGAGTTGAGGCAATTGAGCGGAGTGGAAGGATCCATTCGAGAGGCTAAAAATGTTGGGAAGAAATCGAGAGAGTTGAGGCAATTGAGCGGAGTGGAAGGATCCATTCGAGAGGCTAAAAATGTTGGGAAGAAATCGAGAGTTGAGGCAATTGAGCGGAGTGGAAAGATCCAATCGAGAGGCAAAAAATGTTGGGAAGAAATCGAGAGAGTTGAGGCAATTGAGCGGAGTGGAAGGATCCATTCGAGAGGCTGAAAATGTTGGGCAGAAATCGAGAGAGTTGAGGCAATTGAGCGTAGTGGTACGATCCAATCGAGAGGCTGAAAATGTTGGGCAGAAATCGAGAGAACTGCTGGAAATTGAGCGGAGTAGAAGATTCTAATGCCAGACCTCTGTGACGTCCAACGGCACACACAGGATGGTGATGATGACTACATTTTTATTGTTTATATCACATCCTAATGTATTTGTAAAGCCGATAGGTTTTGTTCGATACAGTAAATAATATATCTATTAATTTTTTTCCCGAATGTGTATAATGATTTATTCATCAGTGATACGTATGTAATGCGTTGTTTTTATAACTGTCTTTATGTTTGCTTACAGCAATGATGATGGGTATGGGTAAGTATTCCACGTGTCCAATGTTTTTTTTTTCTTGCTATTTTTTCTCTGTGTCTTCCAGTACAAAGACATTCTAGTCATGCTGTTCTCTGGTTTTCTCTTGTGTCAATGAAATTAGTTTATTTGCAAGATCTCTTATTTAAAATCATCATTATCATGTGGCTTTCTGATTTAAAATCATCATTATCATGTGGCTTTCTGATTTAAAATCATCATTATCTTGTGGCTTTCTGATTTAAAATCATCATTATCTTGTGGCTTTCTGATTTAAAATCATCATTATCATGTGGCTTTCTGATTTGGAATCATTATCACATTTACCCGTAGGTGAGCGCATTTTGCAATTTCACCCAATTGTAAATTGTGGAGACCCGATTTTTCTTGAGCATCTCGAAAAGGTAGTTTGCCACTGCTGTTCTCCCTGGCAGCGACCATGCTGGTCGGGCGACCGGGGCTAGTTTTTATTTTAGTATCCAGAAGCCATGGTATTATGGATATCGCAACCCTTCAGCCTTGATTCTAAGATAAATACCGTAAATCTGGGAGAAATGTGGCTTTTTTGCCTACCCCCAGGCGTGAACCCGGTCCACAAGGAGTTCGTCACCCGGTCACCGCGCAGTGTGGTTTAGCTAGTATCACTACATTGTGATCCTCTCCCTACCGTCCATGATCTTAGGACCGTGAGCAACAACTGTCTGTCGGTTACTGCAATGTTCAGTCCATCACTTCCTGTCCGTGTAACATATAATAATACATCATCGTGTAGTAGGTCCTTTGCAGAACGTCGCTCTCACCATGATCTGTCTGAAAGAAACTCGGTCTCTCGCCAGCTCTCCCGACTGGTGTACTTTCATTCCAATTCCAATTCTTCAACAAAAATTCCAAATTTGATCCTTTTTCAGCCACCCAGAGGCCTACTATACGAAGGAAGTATTTGGTGCCCTATTTTTTGTGATGTGAAGTCACACATGATATACCTGCTCTTTGTCTTCCTAAGTCCGGTGTGGTACTTGGGGTTCTGAGTCTGGTCTGGTCTCTTAGCTTCAATTTCTGTGGGTTTTAGCTGATTGTCGCTGGTGCTTGGTTTAACTCGTTCTGGTGGCTGCCCTATTGCCTGCTGGGTTACCGCTCTGTGAAGTCGCGTGAAAAAGCCAGACAAACACAACGTAGCGCCGTCTCCAACAATGCTCCTTTTCAGGACAACCAGGGCCGTCACAATCTGTTGTTGTGATCAGCCCTATTTTGTTCTCACAGAATGTGGAGAAGTAGTGGAGTTACGATAGTCTGCAAATGAAAGAACTAATTTGCTCGACTTTACCAGATTTGATAATGAGGTCACAAGAATGAGAGTAACAGATAGTTTGAGAGAGATGGGTTCTTTATGCTAGTACTTCTGGTTGGTTGACATCCCCTGGTCTGAAATAAGACTGAAAGGCATTGTTAAAATACATCTGGTGTGGAGGTGGGGTGGCGTAAGAGAGTCCTGAATCCCCGAGTGCTGGTCCCCTTTAGTGCAATGTCTTCAGCAGTCTGCTTCCGAGCGTCGGGTGGCCTTTGGTGGTTTCCGTTGTCTTATTCCTCCTGAAGATATACTCAGTTTAAATTGTTGTGTTAGCTCTTTGGCATTTACGTTGTTACTTTCATATTCAAGGAGTCATATATATACTGTGCCCATCTTCATATCGGTCGTTCGCTGCCCCTCCTTCCTGGTAACAGGCCTTCTGCTATTATTGTTTCCCAATCCGCCGTGACTTTAAAATAATGCATAAATACATGGTAAATGAAAGGTCTACATCTGTGGTTTAGCGTTATAAACACCTTGTCATATTTCCAACATAATAGGCTCGAAATCACCTGACTGCAATTTAAAAGCAAGTTGCTTGTCGTTAACTGATTAACGAGATAGAACATGGGATTTGAGAAAGAACATTTGATGTATGAGACACAACAGTTGATTTACGAGAACAGAAAATTTGATTCAATAAATAAAATATTTTATTCATTAGAGAGAACATTTCATTTATCAGACAACATTTCTTTATAACATAACTTGTAGTTTACGAGATAGGATATTTGATTGACAACACACAACATTGATTTATGAGATCTAGATAGAATGTTTGAATTATGAGATAAAATATTTGTTTTATGAGATGGAACAATTGCTTTACAAAATATAAAATTTAATTTTATGAAATATTTGATTCAAGAAAAAAAAAACTTTAATTTTCGAGAGAGAAGATACGATTTATCAGATGGAACATTTGATTTATGAGGAAGAACATTTGATTAACTAGTTTAAATATTTTGTTAGGCGGGGGGTAGGGGGGGGGGGGGGGGGTTGAATATTTGCGTTGCGAGATGGAACATTTGATTTATGAGATAGAATATAAGTGTTATGTGATAGAATATTTGAGTTCTGAGGTAGAATATTTCATTTTAGGAATAGAACTTTTAATTTGTGAGATAGAACATTTGATTTTTGACATAAGACATTTTAGTTGCGAGATGAAAAAAAAAATTGATTTACTAGACATAAAAAATTGATTGAGGAGACAGAAAATTTGATTTTGTCAGATTGATGTAATACTGATACTTAATTATTTTTTTTTCCTCTCATACAGGAGGCGGTGGTGGTGGCGGCGGAGCTGGTCTACTTGCAAGTAAGTGTGGTTTAAAGAGGATCATGTGCTTATTTATAATTTAAGAAGTGAGCGAGTGCCCAAACAGTTAAACACAGTAACATCTCCAATGCAGATGGCTCAGGTTTGAATCATCAGCAAGGTTATAGGTTTGGTTGGAAAAGATATAATCCAAACCTACACACGATGACACTGTCGTGGAACAGGTTCCTTTTACACTCACTAAAGTGGTGTTATCTTGTTAGAAACCGAGACAACTGTCTT